ATGTCCTGTAAAAAAGTGAATTTTCAGATCCTACATACACAAGCATGTGTTTGTACAAAGGCAATATATGGAAAAGAATCCTTACTGAGACCCCAGAAGCCAGCTGATAAAGCCTCAGGTGGGCACCAGGCAACCTTAAGTGGGAAGAGTCAGACTTGCTGGGACCTATACTGCTGGGGTCTCATGGAGTAAATCATGGCTTGCATTAAACATTGGTTGGAATGCAGTAGCCAGATGACAGATGTCCAGATTTCTGGTGTTAATTAGTATCCTGATATGTACAAGAATGACAAGTGACTGTCAGGAGAAGCTCTTGTTCTCTTCCAGTTTATGCATAAACCAGACATTGTGGCCACCTCCCTGCTTAATATCTAGTGAGATACACCAGCGTTTTCCCCACACATTAGAACTGACAGGTTTTTATCTGTGTCTTTCTCATCATGAAGTTTCATCTTAATCTTTTCTCATTCTTTGCATAATGAGCAGGCATTCACGATGGTTTTGGAAGAAGCATTATTTTTGATTAGGTGCAAATGTCACTAACCCTGTCCATCCCTATGTCAAACAAAAAAATACTGGCCTTACACTGGGTTTTCCTGCTAACCTGGCTAACCAAGCAACTAATGTTCTACATGAAAGGCAGACTAGTACCTAGAGAAAAAATACACTATGCAAAAAAAACAAGGGTGGAAAATAAGCTTCTTGTTTATTCCTGGACCTTTTTAATAAGTAAGTTCCCTGTATTTCAAGACATTCTTGATTTTATTTTTTGGCTCATGTACAAAAGCCGGGAAAAACCTGGATAATTTGCCCCCCACCTACGTTGACCAAAGACTAAACCAACTAGCCGTTGAACTGATTGTTTAAAAAGAAGTTTTTGAGCACTACAAATGTCTGAAACTCCGCTGTTAGCTCTCTACCAGTGGCTTTTAAAAAGTGTCATGACATCTTTATTCTGTGCCATCAATGTTAACTGAGAATATGCTAATGCAAAAAAGTCTTCTCTCCCTCCTACAGTTCCAGTGTCAACAGTGCAGTATTACTGCAGTATCCTCTGGGCAGAGTTTAAAAAGCTTCTTGACCATAATGAATAGGAAAAATTACTAGGTGAACCCTATTTACTCCTCTAGTGTCTGAGCACTAAGTGTCTGCAGCCTGTGTCACCCTCGCTGTGACCGTGGCCCACGGTATGAGGCTGTTGCGCTGTGGAGGCTGCCACGGAGGAGGCACACCGTGGGGCAGACCTGACTTTGCTCGAAGCCAGCACCTGACAGTGTTTGTAACACAAGGCTTGACTCCTCAGGTTTTAAACTCTTCCTGAGAGCACTAATCTTTCATTAAAATCAGTCAGAACAGAAAGACCATAGCTGATCTCAGAGGAGAGTCCTCAGCTCCGGCAGCTCCTAAGAACAGGCAGGGAAGTCCATCAAATCAAATCAGGAATACCTCCCTTCAGCTTCCTTGAGTAACAGAAATCTTGAGTATCCTGGAAGGGATTTGTTTCCCAGATAAACACACTTGTTATTTTTGAGGAACGATTGAGCTTTATGGCTGACAATGCTGAGCTGTAAAGTTCCTGTAAGTCCCTTTACAGTCTGTGGCCAATTGCTCTACAAAGACAGATCTGGAGACCCACGATCAGATGCTGCAGAACCACAAGCATACACTGCTTGAATTATGTCCATCCCTCTGACAAGCTCCAAAGTTAAGGACACATGCATGTTGGTCATCAGAAGATACTGCTGGATTATCCATGCTGGATGTTGTAATTAGCACATTAAGGTCTCAAAAGCATTATAAAATGAAGATGCTGAAAGCTATGGGTAGTAAAGATTTGGTGTCATATTTAAGAACAGCACCTAGGGCTTTTTTGAAGCTGCAAGAACTTCCTGAAATAGAATTAATTTGTTTTTATGATTATTTATCATTCATACTGCTGTCAGCTTTGACAGTGAAAATGTACTTGTCAGACACACTTTTATTTTAGTCAGTTTATGGCTTTTTTCATTCTGTGAGTTTGATGCATTTCCCTGAAGTCCATGGCCTGTAATTTCCAAGTACAATTAGGGTTGATCATTGGGTATGCTAGAATTTTAACTTTCCTAGAAAACTTCAGTGGGCTTAGGTTTGCCACTTGAGTTTTCCTCCATACTTGATCTGGCACATTCCTTTAATCTGTGTAATCAGTATCATACACTGGTATCCAGCGTAAGTAAGGGATCTGACCCTGTAAGACAACTAGATCTGCATCTTCTGTCTTTGAGAGCCAAGAGTGTTCAGCAGCCCTCCAGACTTTCATAATCTTGTTTTTCTATCATTAAAACTAAGGCCACTTCATGGCTGCCCTTCCGTTGACTTTAAAGGATCTTGGGCCAGGATGACCATGGGAATGGATCGAGTTGAGAAAGAGACAGGGCGTGTGACTAACTGCCCAGAGCTCAGAGTGAGTTCATTTTTGGTCATTTGTGATGTATATCATTTGACTTGATTTGGGAAAAAGGCTCTGAACCGGAATGTTACTAACTGTACATGGTGGCCAATTTGCCCATACAAATGTTGAGGGATGCTGAAACTGGATGAACAAGTTCCCAGGAGGTGGTGAGGCATACCCCAAGTGAATGAGAACCCCTGACTCTGGCAGTCCAGTTGACATAAGACTGACATGTTTCAATTGAGCTAAACACCCTCATTTTCAAACCTGCTCCATTGCATCTGCTAGTTGTAAGAGTGTTTAATGCAAGAGCTGTTGGCAGGTATGACTGCTTAAAAACTTGACTAATTCATGACTAATGCTCAGCAGTGCATTAATGAAATGTTTGCAGAAGTTTCCAGGCAGCAGCAATAGATGAGCATTTCCCTTGAAATATGGAGGGTGTCACTCTTTTTCAGCACTGGGGACATATCCTACACAAAGAATGATGCTCTTGTTTTCAGGTTTTATAAAATACATCTCCATTTGTAAACAGACTGACAGGTCTGTATCTGGGTTGTCCTCACAGTGTATTGTTTTTAATCTGCCTGGAAATGTGTCATTCCTGAGCTGATCCACATTGCTGGGAGACAAACCTTGAGGATTTTTTTATTCAGCAGGCTGCTTTGGCTCTTAATGACATTAAGATGTTAGGGATGAGGCAGGTACATTGCTGGAGAGAAAAATTTGTTTCTCTGAGTCTTGCTCTTTGTGGTAAGGTGTGCTCTACTTGCTCATTGCTAGAAAGGTACTGGGCATCTACACATCTCCTGCAGCCTGCCATAGCTTGGCAAAACTCAGTTGCAAAGAAGCTTAACTTGCTGTTTTCCTTTGTTCTTATGACCTAAACGTAGAAAATAAAAATATACCAGGTTTCCTTATGACAGGCCAGAATCGTTGCTTTGACTGATCATTTTCTTTTTAATAGAAGAATGATCCCTGATATGGACAAAAGGTGCTTTCTTGCTATTTCAGTCTGACACCTTTGCCCTAGTCTTAAGAAAATTGTTTTCAATCTTGAGCTGACTTCCCAGTAAAGCATTTATCTTTCTTATGGGCCCAGAGACTTTGGAAAGTAAGCAGAGTATCGAGGCTGTGAATTTTTATGTGAATTACTTGCTCTGATTTCAAGTTATTATTAAGCTTGCCAGTGAAAATGCAAACAAAACCATGTCTCCAGGGGATGGGGAATAGACATTGCTGCACATTGTAATCAGCCTCTCTTGAAGATTCATTTAATATCTTGTGTATTTTTTTATGAAATGCATTATTCATGTAACAAGATTCACAGAGAGAAGCAGCTGAATTGTAATTTCTGGGAAGATTCTTCTTCTGAGAGATGGCATTTTCATTATTTAAATCAATGCAGTAGGTCTTGCCTGCATAAGGGAGGCATGAAGTGAAGGGAACAGCCTGTAGATGGGGCACTGAGCCAGTTAGTTACTGCCTCTGAAGGGACATAAAATCAGCCATCCAGTAATTTAAGCCCTTTTTGGGTCAGTGTGTAGCCATTTGAGACATCATTACACTTCGCAGGGTTTTTTTCCTCTGTGTTAGAAGCACTTAAACAAATAGTAATCAACTAACACTTACTCAGTGGAAAAGTTGTCCTCTCTTACAAAAATACTGATTGTGAGCTGCTTCTCCTGATGCTGTTTCCTAGGGAGTGCTCCCTCAGTTCTCCACTGAGTTCATCTGCCCAGCCATATGAGAGGATATTCTGTTTCAGGGCCTAAAATAAAAGTTCCACATGTTTGTACTGCAATTCTCTCTTATTTACCTAACCTTATGTAAACCACTGTACTTAATTAACACAGGCTCAGCCTCTGTAATATTTAAGATCTCACTCCACTAGCAGTCCCACTGAGATCAGTCAGGCTGTTCACAGATAACAAAACACAAATAACACTGGTAGATTTTAAGTTCAACTCAGTAATATTACGGCAGTACAGACTGTAAGTGCTTAAGCAATGTTGTGTGCTGTGCATCTCTTGCAGCGCAGTTGACGGTAAACTTATTTTTAAAAGTTAATATTTAGGAATTTAATTAGTGCATATAACCATTTAATTATGTTAATGAAACAAGAAATAGGACATTACAGGTGATTTAGAGATGCATAAGGAGAGGGATTCTCCTTATTTTGACTGTCCCCTTTCATCCCCGTATAGCCATCTTCTAGGCATACCCCCCCCCCCCCCTTCCCCCAGAGCATGGGAAGCTTCCCAGATTCCATCTCTCAGGCCTTTAAACAAGCAGGTGACAGCAGAGCTTGCTGGTGTGGGTGAGAGCCGAAAGCGCCCCCCCGGCGCAGGTTGCCGCACAGGAGGTGTGTGCCTGCATCCTCTGGTGCAGATGGGTGCCTGGCCTCCCAGCAGCAGTGGTCTGGGACTGCTGAGACAAACCCAAAGCTGCAGGGAGCTGTCAAGGGAGCCTGAAGCGTGACTTGTGTATTTTGACACACTGAAGCTACCCAGCAGTGGTTTGCTGGCATTAATGTCTTTCTCCTTTTCTCTTTGTTTATTTGACCAAGTTTGTCCACTACCTCCAATGGTGAGTCATGGAGACTACATCTGCCACCCACGGCCTTGTGAGCGATACAACCATGGGACGGTGGTGGAGTTTTACTGTGATCCTGGTTACACCCTCACCAATGACTACAAGTATATCACCTGCCAGTACGGAGAGTGGTTCCCCTCCTACCAAGTATACTGTGTCAAAACAGGTAAGGGATCGGCAATGGCATTACTCCTATCCTGGTCTAGTCCCTCTTCTTTAAAGCAGATTTGTTGGTCTGTCATACTTGGTGAACTTCATCTGTTTCATGGTTAAGGGATGAACATTGATTTTAAGATGCTATTAAATATAGTACATTTCCAAGATCCTGAATGATACTAAACCATTCCAATCATTAGCTCTTCAAATGTATTTTTCAACATCTTCTGGATATTTGTATATGTATATAAGCAAAGGTCATGATTGCATGTATAAAAATTTATAAAGTCAAGGGGAAAAAAGCAAGGTCCAGCTCCTGTGGCAGCTTAAGGTTGCTTTTGGTATATGGCATTGAATTCACCTGTGTTTTTACAATATAGCTATGATGTCTTGTCCTAACTGGCACTTCTCAGTATTGTTGAAGTATTAATACAAAATTACAGGGGTAATAATCAAGCACAACTCTTGTATTGCCTTTTTGTTACAGAACAAACCTGGCCAAATACACAGGAGACCCTCCTGACTACGTGGAAAATAGTGGCATTTACTGCTACCAGCGTTTTATTAGTACTGCTACTGGTTATTTTAGCCAGGATGTTCCAGACCAAATTTAAGACACATTTCCTTCCAAGGTTTGTACTGATTTCTGTTTTTTTGAAGATTGAGAGCCTTGATTCAGTTTTCACATTCAGCACTCCTTGTTGAGGAGATGGAGTGGCTCACCAGCCTTGCAGATACCTTCTTGTTCTGTTCTGAGCGGAAGTCTCTGAACCAGCAGTGTGGAAGGGTATCCCTAAAACCTCACAGTAGTCCTTTCTGCAACTAAGATAAAAGGCAAAGTTTGCCAGATTCGCTCTGGGAGTAATTACAGCTCTGCTACTGAGAACTGGTGCTTTTGCATGTAAAAATAGCTGACAATATTTTTAAATACTCATTTTCAGGTGCTGGGGGAATTAATTTTTTAACTACTATAGACTTAGTAATGTAAGTTTTAAGAATGAATTTCTTTTTTCTCTATGGACAAATTTGTATTAAAAGTTTGCTTTCCCTTCATGACTATTATTTTAATCATGATTCATAAACATCTCCTACATCTTCCTTTATTTCCATAAAATACTGTGCAGCTATGAGCATTTGTCATTGATTCTCACAGCACTTCTTGTGAGACAGGTAGGTGGGTGTTATTATTATCAGCTTACAACTGGAAAACCAAAGGCAGCAATGCTGAATTTTAGGTAAAGCTAGTACTGTATTGGGGTTTAGACTTGTTTCTAGTCTTCACTCTGCTCACTTTGCTATGGACCTTGACTGTGTGACTTCTTTCCTGCACTTGCTTTTTTTTCATGTCTTTATTCTACCACATGCAGAGGAAAGAGGTGAAAAAGCTGTATGTCAGCAAATATGTCCCCATGCCCAAGGACTTGGTGATCTTAATGTTAAATAATTATGTTCACATAAAAGTATGCATATTACATAATTAATGTGTAAATTTATATACATGTGCATATATAAAGTATACGGGGAGTAGTATACATATACATATACATAACTAGGAAGATCTTTGGGGTAATGGGTTGCACTGTGGATAGCTTTATAACCCATACTTGTCTAGCTTCTTGAAATGGCTTTCTGTCCTCTCCTTTTCAGACATTTTTATATCCTACAGGTACCTGGGACCAATTCCCTCCCACTAGGGCTATACTGTGATTTAACTGGCTACTAAACTGATACTTTAGGGTTTAGCAGACTTTCCCAATTAATAGAAATGTTCTGCTTAATAAAGAAACCAGCTTAGTACTGGTTAAGGAAACCATCCTTTGAAAGGAAGACCTGAAGAAGGTCACAAATCTAGTAGTAGTCATCTCAGTAGCTGTTCACATGGGCTGTAAATGCTTTTGTGTGCTAGCACACAGCTTTCCAGGGATTCAGACACTTTCGGCTGGTGAACTACATCTGTGATCTTACATCCATGATACCTACTGTGCACAGCACAGCAAATTGTGCTCCTTATCTCTTCCAAGCACCTGTTTTCCTTCCCTTCTTGAAATTGTTTTTCACGTTACTGGTTTAATTTTTCCGATTGTAACAGATTCCATTTGACTGTCAACCTGAACAGAGTTTTGCAAATCCATGAGACAAACATTTCTGTGAATGTTAATGACCCTGTAGCTTCATTTTGCATGACTAGGAAGTGCTGTGTTTACTTAAGTTCAGTGTTTGCTCCGAGGTGCGTCTGACATGCTCCTGCTCTCTGTGATAACTCGTCTGTGTTTGGCGTAGAGGCAACCAGGAGGGCTCCATGGGTGACCCCGACTTTGTGGTGGTGGATGGCGTTCCTGTCATGCTGCCTTCCTACGATGAAGCTGTAAGCAGCGGCTTGAATGCTCTGGCACCCGGATACACAGACCAGGGGCATATTTTGCAGACAGAAGATCAGAATCCTCCTGCTTACCCTGGCCCCAGGATTACAGACACACTGCCTAGCGAATTTGAGTCCTGTGACAGTAGGTCAGGCTCCTCTGAACAGCTCCAAAGTTTGCACCCGTCCCCAGCGTGCCAAGCGGCAGCGCTTCCTGGAGCAGATCGAACTGACGTACCCCGTAGCACTGCTGGGGAGGCAGCGTCCACGAGTCCGCGGATCGATATTGCAGATGGTGAGTCTTGCATAGGTGCAATAGGTGAGTCTGTGAACAGGAGCCATCACTTGTTTGTACTGTCCAAGCAGTAATGAACCCACCTGACTTGCTCGTACTTTCGCCATGGTTTTATCTGCATCTTAATTTGGACATTTTTTGAACCATACTACTCCATGGTCATAGAGCTTCATGTCTGCAGTATGTCCTTGCTAGCTGTGGTGCAAGGGGTTTGAATCCCAGGCCAGAAGGTTTGTGTCCACACCCCATAACAGCAGTCTCACCAACAGAGGTGTCAGCAAGCACCTGTGTACAGCCGCGAAGCCAACCATCATCTTGCCTGTGTTGGTGTGTTCATCTGCTCCTCAACTCCCACACTCACAACTCCCTCACATGCCATGGCTTTCACAGCAAAGAACAGGATTTTCTCCTTAAAATGGAAAGCAAATCATGTTTTCATACTCAGACAAAATTAGCAGCCTTTGTTAACAAACCCATCATGGCTGTGCATACAGTAAATGGTTCAGTCTGAGGCACGTACGAATCAAGCCATGAACACAAGAGTCACAGGATCAAGGGAATGTACTCACAGGACCACGTGTGAGAATGGAGATTGCCATATATTATCATCTACATTTAAATCGAACATGAGCATGCATTGATATAATTTCATTGAGTTCTAATGGAGCTATATGGTGTGTTAAGGAAGCTAGATAGTTTTCCTCAGAGATATTGAGAAGGAGTGGCTCTGATCCTGCTCTCCACAGTCCCTGAGAGTAACTAGGCAAAGAGCTGAAGCCCAGCATCCTAAATTGAGTGTGAGTGAAGGTCTGGATGGAGGAAGTCTTCCTGCTTTCATAGGGTTGGGGCTAACTGTGGCATCACAACAGGAAGAGGACAGCTAGGAGGAGGGAGGAATTATGCCAGTGAAAGTCCCTGACTACACTGAATGCTGTTTCAGTGATTAATGTAGTAGAAAGGACGTTTGCATTTGGGGTTTTGTGGGCCTAACTTGTTTTAGAAAATCTGGGTAGTTTTAGTAAGTTAATTTTCATATAGGTGTTAGAACTTAAGTGGGTCTAGAATTGGCGATACTGTATGTCTTATTCAGATTTTTGCAATGTCCATTTCTGTTTTTATAGAATTGCTAATACTAATACTCTGCACAAGCATAAAGGGAAGTTACAGTCAGCAATCAATGTTATTCTTTTTTTCCCTAGAGATTCCTTTGATGGAAGAAGACCCTTAGCCTGCACAGAGATGTGTCTTCGTCAGATTGCACTGTTGGGTGACATGAATCATGAGGATTTAGAGATAGAAAAGACTATCTGTGGATTTGGGGAGGGTATTTTCCTACTTATCAATCTTCCACGCGATGATGTCACCAGATTGGGTGTACATCTTAATCCTCAGCAGGGATAACAGCATCAGCATTTGGAACAGCAGTAGTTTTATGAATGAATCCTGGGGATTTGATGAGAGCAGATGTAGAAAAAGAACTGTGGCTTTTTAGAAATGAAATGTATATCTGCATCGCAGAAAGTCATATGGTTCTGTAAGAAATGCTATTGGATTTTGATACTAACTGCCTCAAAAGCATGTCCAAGTATGTAAATTTGCTTATAAAGAAAGACTGCTTTAAATGATCTACAAACCTCTAGTTTATGAAGAATCCTTACAAGTTTAAAAAAATACTAGTACTGAAACATGAAAAAGAGGAAAGGTCCTCTTTGGCTTTCCTATGGTAACCAGGAAGCATTTGATTTAGTTGTCGGTGATTTTGTTTCAGACCATGTCTGCAGAAAATATAAAAGAAATGATGGGATTCGTATATACTTTGATGTATGATAGCAAATATATATAAATATATATATATTTAAAAACTCTTAAAGAGAAAGAAAAGGAAAGACTCCCAGGTCACCTAATGATCTGGAGATTTTTTTAAAGGTAAGGCAGAATTTATATCATATACAGTATTCAAGGTAAAGTATCAATATTTGTATTTATGCAAGACTTCTGTGACTACATTGCATTTGATAAATCCTGCTACAATATGAGAGATCTAGAGAATGTTAAAATTATGAAAAATGTGCTTAAGAAATGTTGAACTGCCCTGCTTCAACCTTTCTTAAGCTCTTACAAACGTATATATACTAGAGTAATCTACAGTCATAGCCCAGAGCACTGCCTTGTCCCTGTACGTTGTGGTAGTATTCTGAGCCATTATTGTAGAATACTTTTTAAAAAATAATAAAGTCCAGTTTCAGTTCTTTTGACTTATACAACTGTGTGTAGTTGGCCTTTTCTTTTCCCTTCCTCGCTTCTTTCACCAGCTCCCACCTGAAAGCTGAGATGTCAGCAGAACACCTGCTTCATGGCATTTTCAGCTTTATATTTATCCAGCTACAAATGGAGAGAGTGGTTTTGGTTAAGCAGAGTACATGAAATGGATACAGCAGTGGTGCAGCTTCTGTATATGCTACATGGCTTCTGTACAGGCTCTTCTCTCCTCTGCATGCTACGCCAGAGCATTGTGCTAAAGCCAGTATGAACAGTTTGCCTTTGCAGTGTTACAGGTTGTTCGTTATTTGTCAAGAAAATTCCTGGCTGTTTCATATACTTATTGAAAGCCAAGCAGATTTTTCTCGTCTTATTTTTGGTACTGTGCAAATGAAACATATGTTAAACTGGCAGTGTTTGAAGGAAGAACTCGCCGTATGTTAATGACAGAGATTGCCATCATGTGGGTTAATCTAAGCCAAAGGAAAAAATGAGACTGAGTTCTGATTTAATGTACAAAGTAAACCCATAGTATCTCTATTGCACTAAATAGAGGATCACTACAAGTTGCTCTGTCATTTTTTCCTGATTGTTTAATTTTTTCTATTGTGGTGGCACCTAGTGGCCCCACTTAATGAGTCAGGCTAGTAGAATGATGGATGTGCTGCAACCATTCCAGAAAGTGTTTATTAGCATCCTGTCAGCAACTGTACATGACAGCAAGAAGCAAATGGAGACAAAAAATCTGTGTAATGGAGAGACAATTATTACAGTAATCTCAATTATTCTACAGTGTCATTGATGAGAACATAGTGATTGGTCTTGAAAGATAAGACATATTCCACATTATTCTCCATTCTTGCTTACGTGAGATTTGCATTTCTTTCTACTGAAATTGTCTCAATTGCAGTCATATCTCCAGGTTTATCCCAGAGCTGTATTTATCAGGTATGAGTACTTTCTTTGCTCCCCCTTCCTTTTCAGGTCCCACACATTCCAGAGGTGTTTGCACTACCAACTGAAGTTCAGGATTGTCACCTCAGCAAACAAGACAAGAGTGCTGTAATATCAACCTTGAATTGAAGCACGTCTCAAGTCTACAGTCAGTTAAGTGATTTTTGTTTCATAATGCCATTGAAAAGTATTGGATTTACTTTAGATGCCCTATAAAATATTATGAAATCTGTCTTTGCTGGTCTTTTAACGGCTTGTGAGATTTCATTCCTTATTAAATTTCTGGACTTCCATTTATTAATTTCTGTTATGAAAGCTTCTGATTAATATTTGGAGCTCCACGGTTTTACAGATTTACACTGCTGTATAAATTGTATTGCAGTCATTTTGTTAAGGAAGCCAGGCAGGGTAACTTAAGAAATGTAAATTTATGGCTTATTAGACCATTTTTATTTTTAAAAGTGCAGAACTGCAAATACACTAGAAAATGCTGATGTATTAATATTGCTTGATAGTGCTTTGATAGCACCATACTAAATATCACTTGCAAAGAGAGGTTTTTACCATTTTTTGCTCATGATATATAAGACTTCCTGAAAGGGTGTTTTGGGGGCATTACTTGTGTGGCTGAGTTTGGGGGTTTTGCATGCTTGAATATTTGGGGGGAAAGAGAGGAATGTTTCTGCTGCTTTTTTTTTCCACATGGGTCTTGAATTCTCATGAGAGGTATGTCTGCCCCTGGATCCACACCCATGCCCTGACCCCCAAGCTGATGCCCTGGACTCAGGGCTGCCCCCAGGTGCCCCCCAGCCTGCCCAGCATCCTGGTCACCCTATCAGCCTGGAGAACCCTGCAGCTCCCTGGCCTTAAGACCTCAGGTCAACCTCGAGCACTCCCTGAGTCAGTCCCACATCCAAACCTTCAGGAGGGTGGATGCTCTTAGGGCCCCAAGAGACTAGAGAGCTGGTAAGATCATGACAGTATGCTTGCTGTGAAAATGAAACCAGATGAGAGTATGAGCACGCCTTATGCTGATCATAAGCTGTTTTCACTTAAGCTAACTAGGTGTGAATAAAACCTAACCCAGGAAAACCCTTGTTGCTGAGGAGAGAAGCAGCATGTTAGTGAAGATGGACAACCCATGTGCCCTCAGCAGAGGGAGGAAAGGGTACGTACTGTGAACTCCAGGAAAGAAAAACAAGAACTGGCTTCACCCTGCCAATATTTCTAAAAATGAAAAAGGAGAAATGAGCAATGTGTCAGCCTTCAACACTGACGTATGAACAAGGGCTTGACCTGCAGAGTGCTGGGGGAAGGGTGGGGATCCAAGGTCTCGCAGCAGCTATGCATGGAGTGAATCACAATCTAAGCGTGAGTCAACAGGACCTGGCTGTTGTGAAAATGTTAAAAGTCAATATGAGGATGTTTACGCAGAACTGTAACTTATAAAATGCATGAAGCAATCCTTCAGCTCCACTACTGCTACAGCAGTATCTTAAATGCTGAACAAATTTTTTCCTCTTCGAGGGCAATGTGCAGTAGCTGGAGGGCAGCCAAGCAGAGACAATCAAGAACTATTAGAAGTTTGGAAGAGCCTGTCCTCACAGGTCACGTTAGTGATTATGTAGTGTTTGGTGTGGACAACAGAAGACCAAAGAAGACACAAAAACTTGGTTTTCTCTAAGAAGTATATTTTGTGAAGAAGGAGGAATTTATCCATTTAAGTAGGACAAGAATAATAGGCTTAATTGCAGTTTGAGGGAATTAGGTTAGATACTAGGAAAAACCTTCTATCCACAGGGACAGTTACAAGCAGGGAGAGACGGTCTGAGGAAGCTGTCAAAAACCTCTGTTACAAGAGATTTTTAAAAACTGTTTTAAATAAATAGGGGTCAGGAAAACACTGGGGCAGAATGCACTATGGAAGCTTTGGGGCCCCTTCTGATTCTTTCTCTGTGTGATTCCCAGCTTGAGAACTAAACTTGGCTGATGCATGGATTTCCCCATATAGACTAAATCCAAACTGATGGTACTGGGCGAACTGGTCAGCAGTCATCAGAATCACAGCCAGTAATATTATCTATTCCACCAACAGAAGCTTTTCATGTAGCATAGGCTGAACTCCAGTAAAACCCTGCAAATTAAACCCTGTTGCATTAAAGTGACATTGATTTCAGAATTTTGTTCTGTGACAAATCCAAATTTGGGATTTTCTGGTCTTCATGTCTATCTTAGGCAGTTAAATGAATGAAGGCCTTCTCATACTCCCTGTGCATGAAGTGAAGTAAATCCTCTCTCAGCAGCTATCTGAAGACACCTATTGAGTTCAAGGAAAAACAGCAGCTTAGGCACTGGAGTGCAGAGACCATTGTCATGTTTATGCAAAACTTGCTTCCCATGCCCCAAAAGCTGTTTGTTCTTCTCTGTGCTGTGCGCAGTTGATAGCACAGCTTACCACATCAAGTGTCAGAGGAGGAATAGCACAGATGGGAGAAGCACATCTCAAGCTCCTGTTCTTGGTCTCCTGTGGATTCCCAGAGAGGACTCAGGGGCAGGAAGAACTAGAAAGCAAGTAAACATCTCCCCCAAACCCAGGAGCATCTCCCATTGTCAGGGGCATGTGCAGTCCCTTTGACATGGTTCCCAAAAGAATTGCACTTGGAGGGGAGGCTCTATGGCAGAGGGGAGATAGGCCCTGGTTTGCCTATTGCTCTCCCAGGCCAGGGTGTGCAGCCAGAATAGACAGACAATTCCTTCTCCCCCAGAATAATGTACATAACTTCCTTCATGCATTAGAGATTTATTTTGTCATTACCATTATGTAGTAGCATACAGCCCATTCTTCCAGCCCTACCTTCTCCAGGACAGTAAAATATGTTATTTAACAATAACAGAAAGGGTGTTATCTTGAGATTAAATTATTTGTTGTCCAGGTGTCAGAGCAGACTTTTAACAACTCATATAAACCCCATACAGAAATTGTACACATAAGGCTGACTGGGATTATTGAAGCAGCTTTCCTCAGCAAGGCAAAGGGACTGTCCTGCAGGGCAGGGGGAGCTGCCACATGGAGACATTTTGTAACCCAGGAAAACTGGATTCACCTGATAAAATATATTAAAAAGAAACTTGGAGAAGAAAGAAAAGACACTTAAATTTTAATAATGTCCAGGGGACATGGTAAGTTCCCCATGTTCTCCAGTAAGAACGGAGGGAGCTGTTTTCCATTTTATTGTGTTTGCCTTCTGTTTCCCCTCTGCCTATCCTTCTACTCTCTTTCTCTTTTTTTTTTCTGTAACTAATACTGTTGTTCCAGTTCCATCCTGCCACCTTGGTCATGCTGGGAAGCGAAACAAGTTGCTTAATTGCAGTGCAGTACCCAGCAGGACACCTCCCCTCCCTCATAAAAGGTTGCTCTTATTTGCCTTCCTCATTTACATTCTCAGCAGAGAGGACAAGAAGGGACATGGAGCTCTTCATTCTGCTGACAAATGGTCCATGAAAATGTTTAGAGAGGGACACTGAGGGGATCCCACACTGCTACATGCATGATGTATTGGTCTCAAGCCTGTCAGCTCATGATCTTTCATTGGCCCAGAATTCACAGGTGCACATGGATGCTCCTATACAAACGCAGTAGTCAAGATTTTTAAGAATTAGACAATATTTTAGGGTGTTTCAAGGTAAGACATTTTAAAGAGACCCTCCTTTCTGAACTGGTGAGCTCACAGCTTAAGAAAATGGGCACTGATACAGTCCAGTTAGGGAGCACAGGGTGCACAGCAGGTCACTTCCTGGTGCTTTAGTATGAATTTCTTGTCCCCAGGATAACTGCTTGAACTAAACAGTTGCCAGTTGCTGAGCTGCCAGGTTCACATGTTTTATTTTTTTAACCTAATTAAACTAGATTTATTTTTAACGCTCCTTATTACCATCCGCTTCTGACTTCCATCCATCTACTGCTGAGTACATGCTGCTCTTGCCAAAGCAAGTGTCTTTCAGCAGCTCACTCAGCCCCCTGGAACTTTACCACCCTGTGGGAGATCACACTTGCCACCATTGTCCCTTCTATTAATTCCATGGCAGCACATGCTGTTCGTCTGCCTTGTTCAGTGCTCTCATGTTAATAACTGTGCAACCAGTTGCTACTTCTTTCATAACCATTACCATAGCTGCCCATTGTTGATAATTCAGGTTAATTACTTACTAAAAAGTTTAGTAGAACAATTTAGCTTTGCTTAGCCTGTTCATCGATGAAGACTATAAATGTCTGCAGTCTATCACTGATACAGATGTTACTGCAGTTTGGTATAATTGGCTTTTACTGAAGTGCTGCAGCAAAAATGATGGTTAGTCCAACTGGCAAAGTCAGCTGACTGTTTGTTACACCTACTGCTTGGTTTTCCATTAGATTTTGGGCAACCCCTTGAGTGTGCAGTGTATACCCATCTACAGAAGCGCTGAAGCCCAGCACTAAAAAGGGTATCATGGCAGCTGCAAAGAGTCCAGCATTTCAATTAGGCTTACGGTGCTGGGCTGATCTATCACAAATACATTTTACTGGAGATAGGCATACCTATGACAAGACTTAGATAACGTTCTCTCTGTTTTATGGAAAAAGTAGTGGAAAAATTGCCAAGAAGCAGCATCATTAAAGGTAATGATGCCTCTCTAGTCAGTTTTCTCTGGTCTGGCAGTGTCCTGTTCCCTGAAATTTCAAATCTAGGAGCTGTTACAGTCAGAAGGCTCTGGATACATTCACTGCTCTCAGTTTCCAGTGAAATGGATGGAAACTGGGACCCCTTTCAGCAACAGGCTCTTTCTGACCATACAGTCAGGAGTCCCCATCTCCTGATTCTTAGAAGCAGAAGAAAGGCCCTATGCTCCCATACAAGGGGAAGTGTAGTTTAGCATTACACTACTTTAGAGCAAAACTGGACTCTGGAAACTCCACCCAGCTCTCTGATTTTATGTGCATGACACTATTTGCAGTGAATTGAGGCTGACTTGGTGCATTGTGGTACTTTGCATTCATTTAAGCCTTTACAACATAGGGCTGTGCAACACATCAGCAATAGCCTTTAGCTTCTCTAAGTACTGACAAGCAAATGAAAGCAAGATAGCTCCCTTCAGACACTTTTTAAATCCAGCATGGAGCTGTCTTCTTCTTTGGATGCCTAAGTATCCTAAATATGCCTAAATATCTTCGTATTAAATTGTGAGCAAGAATTATGATTAATTGCTCCCCTGACCTTCAGTTTCTTCATTGAGACTGTGTCACCGAACCATATTTTATGTCACTAGGAGACAGCAGATATAAATGAAGTATCTGCCTGCTCTAGAATATCTAACAAGGGAGGAAATTACTTCCATCCGTTAACACAACAGATTTTCTTGAGACAATTTTCTGCCTTCCAAATTCAGTTTTAAAATGTGATTTCATCCTCACAGGTCTGTCTGTTGGTTTCCAGCACAAGGGGCATTGCCTCCGTTTGTTGGCAGCACTGGCAAGAAAAGCAACCTGTCACTCTCCCTCATCTTAATGCTTTTTTTCCACTGCATAATTTTAAAACTAGAAATAATTTATAAAAAAACCCAAAAAACAACCCCACACAAGATAAATTCAGATTTTGGATTTCTTCAGAAGAAAGGGCAGTGGGTATTCTTTTCCAATAAATTAAATTATAATTTAATTAGCTCAAAAGAAGACTGAACCCCATGCACTTTACTTCTGTGGTCCAAGACTGAGCATGCAGTAAGTAGGAAGGAGACTTTTTTCCCAAATAATCGGCAAGAAGTGACAGTTGGTCTTTGGTCTGTGAGCGCACTCATGTTTGCAGCACACGACATTGGCACATCCTGTAGCCACATCTGTGGGTGACACAAGTACTGGGAGGCCAGTGCCTTTGCACGCAAGGGGAGAGAGCAGTGCTCTGCCCCCCCCACCATCTTGTGCCACCCGTGCTGCTACTCCTGCGTGCTCAGGTACGCTGGGCACTGCAGCCCCGCTGAACCTGGTGTATTTACAGTCTGTGGCAGAATGGGCCTCCTGCTGTGGCAGTGCTTTGTAATTTCTTTTCTTTTGTTTGTCCTCTTTGTAATTTCTTTTCCTTGGTCTGTCCTTGCATCAGCAGCATTCAACACTATCAGATCTTTGTATCAGCATGTTCTCCAGGCCCAGCTGTATGAGGTAGTAAGTATTTTCAACTCACGTCAGCTCCAAAGCGAGTGCCATTGAAAACTAAACAAATATAAAAAACGTTAAACAAAAAAATCAAGCTTAGGAATAGCCTTGTTGTCGTGTTGGCCCTGTGCATTCATTTTTCTGTTCAAATTAGTCATGCACTTTGAAGGATAGGAAGTTCACAACAGGGCAGCCAAATCTTATGTTCAGAATCAGGACCCTGGAAGGAAAAACCAGCATGTAAACCAGAAAAATATTAGCCCATGATTGCATTGAAATCTCAAAGCTTAATGCAAGATGTGTTCATAAGTGCTTTTTGCTGGAAAGAAACAGCCTCTGCCATGCAATTACATACTTAAGCTCTGTGGAAAAGATTTGTTTACTGAGTGAGAAAGGCAAACACCCCATTGCCGCTGGTCAGAAAGAGTCCTCTGTAATCATCACAGGCTGCAACACAAATACAACAGTTCGAAGACCTTTAACATTTGATTAGTATTTTTCTCTTTTATAGAGTGAAGAGCATTTGGACCTTAAAAGGAAAATGAGCTAAGGCTTTAATTAGTGGGGCCACAGAGAAAGAAATGAAGAATGACTGTGGAGAGCTCTAAGTATATGCTGAAAGCTTACAGGGAAACTGTTGCCAAGCAGATTGTGATAGATTTTAAATTCCAAATGTAGATGGACTCACATGTGCAGACACCAAACACAACTGTTTCTGTGTAATTCTAAGAAGGTAGGAAATGCAAAAAAATTCAAAAGCACAGATTTGTGATAACTGGGAAATGCTTTACCTGCTTTACCCCTTGGCATGGTCCCAGAGAAATGATTCTGCTCTCTTAAAAACAACAGCTGTTCATTGCTGAAGGCTGTTTCTGGATTTGCACCATATACCTAGTGCAAAAGAGATGCAAGTTTATGCTGTTGTAGCCCATATTTACTGGGCCTTGACCCATACAGCTCCGTCAATACAAATACTGGTGCGCTGGCCAGGAAAACCAGTAGCAAAGGTGACTAGACACAAAATTCTCTCAAATGTACTAAGTAAACAAAAAGTATCAGCAATATGTGGGGTTACTGAAAATGGCAAGCGTGCTATTTTCAGGCAAACATGATTTGTGAGGTGATAGTAGCTTCACCAGCAGTGAATCACAGAAGCTTAGCCTCTCTAGCATCTCCCTTTTCCTTAGACAGCACTTTCCATGGCAGGAACAGGTGTAGGTAAGAGCAGTGTTTTAGGGCTTGTGCTGATAGCACAAAATGAGCAGAAACTGCTGTCAAGTCAAAACAGGTAGAAGAAATACAGGAAGAGACCATGGAAAAGTGAAGCACATTTCATGTTGGAAAGGTTGGACTCGGGTGTGGATGAAGCTAGAAGCAATGTGACATCCCGCTCCAAGCACTTTCTCCAGTTACTCCTGGCTGGCAGCGGCTGGCAGCTGCTGGCAGTGTAAAACAGGAGTGCAAGCAGCACTGGTTGGAGCTTGGCTAAACCAGGCACTGGAATGAGATCTAGCACAACTGCTGTATTTTTCTGCCTTGGCAGGTGAGACCCCAGTCGATGTGATTACCTGCTGTGGGCAGGAGGCCGAGTGGCTGGCCACCTCTCCAGAGAGGGTGGGGGTGGCAGGATGCTGCTGGGTGGTCAGGTCCTGCTGCCACCACTTCTTGGGGGCCTCTCCTGCTCTGGGCATGGGTGCCAGAGGCCACCGGAGCAGCAGAGGGGCTACCAGCCAGCCTGGGAATGTGTGTAGCCACCCAGCAGTCCTTCCTCTTGAATCTGGGTAGAAGATCACTTTCTCCTGATGCTTGGTAAAAATGGGATCTAGTAGCGACACTCCACATTCTTATTCTGATGCCTGCAGGTGTCTTTCCATGTGAAAAAAAAAAATGTTAAGGACTTTTTCTTTAGGATATTATGTGCTTTGCTAATAAACCTCTTTGGAGATTCTTAAAAGAAAAATATTCCGGGACGCGCAAGCAGTGGTGTGCTGTTTTTACGCTCCCCTCACCTTTAGTGTTTTTGAGTGGCACAACATGACATGTTGTAATTCATCTGTCATTTTCACATTTGGGGAAGTGGTCAGAATGGAGCAATCCAACCATCCCAGCTGAATACACTGTTGTTAACTGACAGATGTCTTGAGTGCAACAGGAGAGTCATGAGGCTGTTGTGGAGGTGGTGCCTTTTAAATCCCGGTTGCGTGCAGAACCTTGGCATTTTGTCACCATGTACAATTTTCAATTTCACAGCACATTTCTTTTGGTGTTAGAAGAGGATTTTGTTTTCCCTTCATCCTCCCTTTTTGTTAACACTGCAGGAATAATTTCTCGGGGCTCTCTCCTGTCTTTCCTGATACTGCGAGCGCTGTGGGATTCCTGGGGAGTTTCTGTGGGCATAGACCTGGCTTGCACGAGTGCATGCATATGTACACTCACATACAAATGCCAGACAATTCAATAACATGAAAGCTGTCACAGGCCATTTTACTACAGTCCCAACGTTTGAAAGGTATTTAGGTTAGTATAAAACCAGGTTTCAGCTCCGGTCAGCTTTTCTTTGCAGAATACAGGGAACAGCTGCCTGGCCAGCGGGCGCTGCCTGAACAAAGGTCTCCTTCTACTCCAAGTGGCCTCAGGGGGAAGCTGCTGCTGTGTCTGGCCGGCCTGGCAGCAGGGCCTGAAATAGGGATTTGCCCTGTACAGCTGTGGAGGTCAGACAATCCAGGGCTGTATTTTATATAATGTATTTTAAGTGTGGGAGTACATTTTTCTCCTACAATATACTCAGGCCTTGGAGAGAAGCAAAGTGGGCTGAATCAGTTCCTCAGACACTACCCTTTTGTATATTTTTACCTTATTTTTAAGAATCCAAAGCACGGTAGGAACAGCTCTGAGCTTTTTTGCCAAGATCTGACCATGCTGATTTCAACAGATGAAACTTTGGTTTCAGCATGTGTTAAAATGAAAATACCAGCATTTTCAAGCTAAAATGTATTATGTTGAATTACTCATATGTTGTGGACTGATAAAGCACTTTCATCAATTGATCAAACTTTGCTCAGTTAGACTTTCCTGATCTTTCTTTTCTCTTTGCTCAAATTAACACAGTCGTATGTATAACTGAACTCAGTGGTAGCCAAGACTATAAAGGCACATAAAAGCCTGTCCAAACTCTTCAATCTCACTAAGAATGAAGCTCACAAAAGCACATTCAGACCAAAATCGATGCTACCTAAACCAGGAAAAAATTCACTTGCAGAGGCTCATTTTTGGATCCTTCTATATGCATAAAGAGGGAATAATTATCTCTGTACATCTAGAAATTTATCTTTTCTTATTCTATCCATTCTGTGGACAAACTGTTGTGTTCACAGCTTTGATAGAAGCTTTCAAAAACACTTTAATAATTTCCCAAACATGCAACACAACCCGCACTGGCTTTGTTTTTTTTTTTTTTTTTAAGCTAGAGGTTTATTAAAAAGATCACAGATTTTCCTGTTAGTTGTGAAATCTAGGTGGGAAAAAATCAAATAAATCTTGGTATTTAATATGATAATTCTAACTGAGACTCATAAGGTAATGGAACTTAATGTCATTACCTATGCAAGATATGAAAATGCGTGTCTCCAGAAATAATGACCTTATTACAGCGTTGATGTTGTGTGGGTGGAAGCCCGCTTTAGAAGTAGCCTGTGGGAAATGATCATGTATTTCACCTGCCTATTGTACATTATAGGTGAGCCCAGAGGTACAATATGATACACATTTGGTAAGTGGCTTACATGTAAGAAATCAGTAATTTAATGAATTAATCACCAGAGCACAATTATAGACCTTAATTTAGAAGGTATTAGTCATTCACCACAGATAACCTTCAGTGGCTATTAGATTTCATAGTCTGTGTTCATTACAACTGGCAAATGTCATTTGCACAACCAGCACACACAAGGGCCTGTTCTTTGGCTGGAAGCACATTTTTTCAGTATTAAATCCACTCCATTAAATACAAGATAGAGCACCTGTTTGGGTCTTATTTCAATAAAAATTATATCCTAGTTGCATTTTAAGGGGGCTTATAAAGATTGCACATTATTCATGTATTTTGTTAGCATGTTTAACATGGAGTGGGGTACACTGGAAATATTACAAGCACATCAGTAGAAGACAGCATAGCTGGTGAAAAACCATGGCAATAAACAGCCTATTAACCTGTTGCAGTCTTTATCAAAATATGAGACAAATGACTGTTACAAAATCTGTTAAAGCATTTACTGACCTTTTATAAATGAACTTTCATATATGATATTTTCTTGAAATTAGTAATATGCCTAAAATTAGGTATCTCAGTGCTTAATTTCGAGAAGCTGCATAAATCTAGGACACAGTAAAATTCTCTAAGTAATTGCTTCTAATTTTTGGTGTTTTCATGTGCATAGTGGAGAGGACATCTTTTCTTTTTTCCCTTTTTCCTAATCCCTTATGGTGCCTGCTAGGTGTCTAGCTCACTGTGTGTATGTGACCTGCATAAGACAATGGAGGAGCAAGAAACATGTCTCTGCTTAACACAGACACCTTGGCAGAAAGACAACTTTTGTTGTAATTTCTTGCAAGTGACAGAACATGAGATGGTTGTGTAGGTGTGCCTTTTGTCATCAAAATATAACATGCTTATCTGGATCTGCATCATTTGGAATTACATTACTTCCTCTGTGTACGAAGGCACTGAAAGTTTTCAGCAGGGTGCTACAGAAAATACGGCTGCATTAACAGACAGCTTAGCTGTTTCTTTTCTGAGTTACACAACCAGAGTCCTGTGATTTATACATATTAAACTTGGAGGGTTTTAATAACTGGATCAAAAGGAATTAATTCAGAAGCAAGTCTGCAGTCGTAATAATACTGTGTGAGCATTGTTAGGTGATAAACCAAAGTCAATGCACCAAACTAAAAGAAGAGCCAGGTTGGATTTTCAACCATAACTTGGCAACAGCTTTTGAAAAAAACACTTCCATAAATTTGTGACCACTTGTTAGCAGCGGCTGACTGTGCAAGAAGCAGCAGTGAATACCTTGCTGCCATGCTGAAATATACATTATGTATTAAACAAAAAGATCCTCAAAAAGTATAGCCATGAAAGTTTAGCAGTCCTGCTTACCTGCTGCTTCAGACACTTCAAAAGGTTTTATTCACAATCTGAAACTGGCTTAGCTGGCACCTAAACTGTCACTAGATTCTAGGCCTTGCTTCAGTAACTTCAGTATAAAGTATCTCAGTCTTTTATGTATGTTGGCAAACAGGGCCAAGCTGACTGGATCCACAAAAACCTAGTGTTTCCCACCTGCATTAACAAGTTATACAACAGGATTATAAGTGAAGTATCCACATTAGACACAAGTTGAAACAAGTGTAAACTGTGGGCAAACATGTATAAATCCTGATGCTGGTTTTTACTGTCACCACCTGGAAAGAGGTGCTGTGGTGATAGGCTCAGTAGAAATAAGACTTACTACAGACTTACTGTCTTTTCCTATTAATTATAGCTGAGAGTAATCCCAAAAATATTCAGAACTCCAGGTATCCGGTTCCATCTATTCAATTAGAAGTAAGA